CAATCTAAGAATATGTAATTTTGCCCAGCTCAAAAATCAAAAAGTTATAAATACTCCTGACTCGCTCTTCCAGGAACGCTGTCTAGAGGCACTCAGAGTGGCCCAGCATTTGAAACACCATCAAAGGCTTTCCTACACTATAGCCTCTAACAAAACAAGGCTGCTTCGAATCCCTGGTAATAGAACTGCTCATCTTTATGCCAAGATGGCTAGGAAAACACCAAAATCCGCATGTGACGCATGCCCAGGCAGAATTAGAGGGGTTCATGCTGTGAGACCCAAAGTTATGAGGTTATCTAAAACAAAAAGACAAGACAGCAGAGTCTAAAGGGATGCTTGATCCTGTGCTCGTGACAGGATCAAGCATCTTTACTTATCAAGGAGCAGAAAATCATTGTGAAAGGCTAGAAGGCATAAGCACTGAGTCAGAAAGCTAAATTTAAAAATGAAGCTTTGAGTAATAAAAATAAAAAATAAGCCGAGCTTGGTGGCTCAGCCTGTAATCCCCCACCTTTGGGAGGCTGAGGTGAGTGGATTGCCTGAGCCTGCGGGTTCGAGACCCGCCTGGGCAACTTGGCAAGACTTCATCTCTACAATAAATCAAAAATGAGCCGGGCATGGTAGTGCACGCCTGTAGTTCCAGCTACTTAGAAGGCTGAGGCGGAAGGATTGCCGGAGCCCAGCAGGTTGAGGCTACGGTGGCCGGGAGCGGCCACTGCACTCCAGTCTGGGCGACAGAGTGAGACTCCAACTCAAAAAAATAAAAATAAATAAATAAATAGGTCAGATGTGGTGGCTCACAGATGTAATGCCAGCACTTTGAGAGACCACAGTAGGAGACTACTTGAGTCCAGGAGTTTGAGACCAGCCTGGGCAACACAGTGAGACCTCATCTGTACAAAAAATTTAAAAATTAGCAAGGGTGGTGGTGCGTACCTGTAATCACAACTACTTGGGAGGCTGAGGTAGAAGGATCACCTAAGCCCGGGAGGCTGAGGCTGCAGTAAACCAGACTGTGCACTCCAGCCTGAGTGACAAAGAAAGACCCTAACTCAAATAAATCAGTCTTGACTTAATGTATTACTATCCCAATATTCTTCCTACCAACAGTAAGAGGTCCTCTTACTTTCTAATACTACTCTGCATACCAAAATCTTTTCACATATTCCTTGGATATTACCTCCTATGCTCATTTCAACTCTCTATTATCTTTTTAAAATTTTTATTTTTCAGTCGGGTCTCACTCTGTTACTCAGACTGGAGTGCAGTGGTATGATCATGGCTCACTGCAGCCTTCACCTTTTGGGTTCAGGCAATCCTTCCACCTCAGCCTCCTGAGGAGCTGGGACTACAGGCAGGCACTACTACATACAGCTAATTTTATTTTTTTTTTTGTGAAGACAGGGTCTCCCTATGTTGCCCAGGCTAATCAATCCTCTGTCATCTCTAATTTCTTCTCCACTGATCCTTTCCTTCCAGTGAAAAGCACATTCTTTTATTCTTAACATTAAATTTTTTTAAAATCCACTTTCTCTCATTCCTTTTGAGATCAGTCTCCTGGAAAGGCGGTCTACACCTATTGCCTCCATTTATGGGCAGATATTTCATTAGAATCGTCAGCACTCTCTCTTCTGCATCTATTACTATAAAGAAAAGGCAGTTTTGAAAATCACCATTTTTGCCAGCTTTACTCCTCTAAGCTCTCTGGTACCACTCGAAATCCAGCATCGTTTCTTGACAAAAACCCTCGAACGCCGAGAGATCAAAGGAACATTCCTCAAAACAGTAGAGTCACCTGTGAGAAACCTGCCGCCAACATCGTGCTCAATGGGCGGAAGCTGGAGGCATTCCCCCTGAGAACAGGAACAAGATGATCCCTCCTACTCAGCATAGTGCTGGAAGTCCTACCAGAGCAATCAGGCAAGAGAAGGAAATCAGAGGTATCCACACAGGAAAAGAGGAAGTTAAGTTACTCCTCTTGGTGGACAATATGATTCTATACCTAGAAAACCCTAAAAAGTCTGTCAAAAACCTCCTCACATGGATAAGTGACTTTGGCAAAGTCTCAGGATACAAAACCAGTGCGAAAATGACAGTTGCATTTCTATACCAACAACAAGCAGGCTAAGAAGCAAATAAAAAACACAATTCCATTTATAACAGCCACAAAAAAACAAAATAAAATACCGTGGCATCCACCTAACCAAAGAAGTGAAAGACCTTTACAATGAGAACTACAAAACATGGCTCAAAGAAATCAAGGATGACCTAAATAAGTGGAAGAACACCCTACACTCCTGGACTGGAAGAACTAATATTGTTAGGATGTCCATCCTACCCAAGGCAATCCTATCAGATTGCCAACATCATTTTCACAGACCTGGAAATGACAATATAGAAATTCGTATGGAAGCGAAAAAGAGCACAAATCCTCAGCAATTCTCAGCAAAAGGTACAAAGTGAGTGGTATCACACTTCCAGACTTTAAACTTTATTGCAAATCTACAGTAACCAAGATGGTATGGTATTGGTACAGCAATAGGCACATAGAACAGGACAGATTCCCAAAGTAAAAACACAGTCCCAGCCGGGCTCGGTGGCTCAGCCTGTAATCCCGCGCCTTTGGGAGACGAAGGTGTGAATTGCCTGAGCCCGTGGGTTCGAGACCTGCCTGGGCAACTTGGCGAGACCTCATCTCCACAATAAATCAAAAATTAGCCGGGTGTGGTAGCGCGCGCCTGTAGTTCCAGCTACTTGGAAGGCTGAGGCGGATGGACTGCCGGAGCCCAGCAGGTCGAGGCTGCGGTGGCCGGGAGCGGCCACTGCACTCCAGTCTGGGTGACAGAGTGAGACTCCAACTCAAAAAAACAAACAAACAAACAACAACAAAAAAAACACAGTCCCTCAACCAACTCATCTTCAACAAAGCTATCAATAACAAATACTGGCTGGGAGTGGTGGCTCATACCTTTAACTCCAGCACTTTGGGAGGCCCAAGTGAAAGGATTGCCTGAACCCACGGATTTGAGACCAGCCTGGGCAACTTGGCGAGACTCATTTCTACAATAAGTCAAAAAATTAGCCAGGCATGGTGGCACATGCCTGTGGTTCCAGCTACCTGGAAGACTGAGGAGGAAGGATTATCTGAGCCCAACAGGTCGAGGCTTTGGTGGTCGAGAGCGTGCCACTGCACTCCAGCCTGGGTGACAGAATGAGACTCCTATTCAAAAAACAAAAAAAATTGGGGAAAGAAGCCAAATTTAGCAGAGGGTGCTGGGAAAACTGGCTAAACACATTCAGAAGAATGAAACTGAACCCCTACCCATCACCATAAACAAAAATTAACTAGTTCAAAATGGATCAAGGACTTAAATATAAAACCTCAAACTGTAAGAATCTTAGAAGAAAACTTAGGGAACAGCCTCTTGGACACCAGAGTAGGAAATGAGGATCAAGTACGCAAAAATAAACACAACAAAAGCTAAGGTTGATAGGTGGGACCTCATCAAACTGAAAAGCTTTTGCACAGCAAAGGAAACCCTCAAAAGAGTCAAGAGACAACCCCTGGAACGGGAAAAAATATTTGCAAGCTATGCATCTGACAAAGGCCTAATATACAGGATCTACAAGAAACTCGAAGTCAAAGGAAAAAACAAATAACCCCATTAAAAGTGGGCAAAGAACATGAAGAGACACTTCCCAAAGGATGACATTCAAACAGCCAACAAACACATGAAAAAATGCTCAGCCTTAAGCTGGATGCGGTGGCTCATGCCTGTAATCCCAGCACTTTGGGAGGCAGAGGCGAGAGGACTGCCTGAGCCTACGGGTTCAAATTCAGTCTGGACAACAAGATGAAACCTAATCTGTATAATAAATCAAAAATTAGCTGGGTGTGGTGGCACACACCTATAGTTTCAGCTACTTGGAAGGCTAAGGCAGGAGTCCCTGAGCCCAGCAAGCTAAGGCTGCGGTGGTTGTCAGCAGCATGCCACTGCACTCCAGGATGGGTGACAAAGTGACACACCGATTCAAAAGAAAAAATGCTCAGACTCATTAATCATCAGAGAAATGCAAATCAAAACTATAATTAAGGTCAGTGCAGTGGTTAAGGCCTACAATTCCAGCACTTTGGGAAGCCAAGGTAAGAGGATTGCCTGAGGCCACAGATTCGAGACCAGCCCAGGCAACCTGGCGAGACGTCATCTAAATAAATCAAAAAATTAGCCTGGGTGGTGGCGCATGCCTGTAGTTCCTGCTACTTGAAACGCTGAGGCAGAAGGATCACCTGAGCCCAGCAGGTTGAGGCTGCAGTGGCTGGGAGAGTGCCACTGCCCTTCACCCTGGGCCACTCAAAAAAAAGAAACAAACAAAAAATAATGAGATACCACCTAACTCTGGTAAGGATGGTTATCATTAAAAGGTCAAAAAACGCTTTGGGAGGCAGCAGTGAGAGGACTGCCTTAGGGGGTTCAAGACTAGGCGACTAGGCAACTTGGCAAGACATCATCTCTACAATTAAAAAAAAAAAGTTAAGTCGGGCTCGGTGGCTCAGCCTGTAATCCCGTGCTTTGGGAGGCTGAGGTGAGTGGATTGCCTGAGCCTGTGGGTTCAAGACCCGCCTGGGCCACTTGGCGAGACCTCATCTTTACAATAAATCAAAAAATCAGCTGGGCATGATAGTGCGCGCCTGTAATTCTGGCTACTCAGAAGGCTGAGGCGGAAGGATCGCCGGAGCCATGTGGGTTGAGGCTGCAGTGGCCGGGAGGGGCCACTGCACTCCAATCTGGGCAACAGAGTGAGACTCCAACTCAAAAAAAAAAAAAAAAAAAGTTAGTAGGGCGTGGTGGCGCACAGCTGTGGTTCCAGCTACTTGGAAGGCTAAGGTGGAAGGATCGCTGGAGACCAGCAGGTTGAAGCTGGGGTGACTGAATATGCCACTGAACTCCAGCCTGGGCAATGTAGTGAGACGCCAATTAAAAAAAAAAAAAGGTGTTGGCATGTCTGCAGATGTTTCTACACTATTGGTGGGAATGTGAGCTAGTTCAACGTATGTGGAAAGCAGTGTAGCAATTTCTCAAAGAACTAAACACTGAGGGTCCCTATGATCCAGCCATTCCTCTCCTGGGAATATACCCAGAGAAACATAAAGAGCTCTACAGAGAAGAAACCTGCACACACGTTTATTGCAGCACTATTCACAATAGCAAGAACATGGAAGCAAGTCAGATGCCCATCAAAAGTGAACTGGATAAAGAAAATGTGGTACATACAAATGATGGACTGTTATGCAGCCATAAAGAACAAAATCATGGCCTTCGCTGCAATTTGATGACAGGTGGAGACCATCACACTAAGTGAATTACCACAGAAGCAAAGAACTGAATACCACACGTTCTCACTCATAAGCAGGCCCTGATCACTCGTCACACAAGCACAAGGGTGGCAAGGGTGGGACCTGCAGACTTGGGGGGAGGAAGGGAGGAGGAAAGAGAGCATAGGGCCACACACTGGGTACCTGGTCCACTGTCGGGGGAGTGAGGGCCAGTTAGTAGCCCACACTTCACTGCTTGCAACTTACTTATGTAGTAAATCCTCACTTGTACCCCACAACTCTAAAACAACAAAGCCCTGCTATCTTGTTTCTTCCGACACTCATATTTAGGGAGTCTCTCTCTCTCTCTCTCTCTCTCTCTCTCTCTCTCTCGAGTTGGAGTCTCACTCTGTCGCCCAGACAGACCTCCACCTGCCGGGCTCCTGAATTCTGGTAGAGAGGAGGTCTCGCTGCCCAGGCGGGTCTCGAACCCGCGGGCTCGGGCAATCCACTCACCTCAGCCTCCCAAAGGCGCGCGGGATGACAGGCTGAGCCACCGAGCCCGGCTCTCCTTATTTCTTATGGTTCCTTCTGACCCATTTGCTCATTATTTTTTTCCTCACGTCCCAGCAGTGATTGTCCCCCAACTCTGAAATCGTGCATTCCACACAACTCCTGCATCCCTATCTTCAGATCCTCACAGCTGCACCCCAGTCCTGCACCTTTCCACCTGCCAGTTCTCAAACTCCCTACGTTAAAAGCCAATCGATTTCAAACCCAGTCAGCCGCTTTCTTTCCCACGACTGCTCCCTGTCTTGCTCAGTAATAGCTCCATTCCTCCTTCTGGTTTCCTCCCCTCCTAGAAGCAACCCAGTCACCTCACTCCCCCTTCAACTCCGCCCTCAAAGCCGACACCTTTCCTAAGAAGACAGACACAAGCCTCTGGGGTCGGCGCCTCGCTGGCGCGCCCAGAGCCAGCTCGTCAGTCCTCAGCCCCCGCCCTGGTCCGCAGACTCCGCAGGCGGCCTTCGGGCGCTCCTCCGCGCGCGTGCTCCCTGGCCCGCAGGCGTCCTCGCCCGGAGACCCAAGCCCAGCACTCGGCGTGCGCGCCCTCCGCGGCGAGCAGGGGCGGCGGCAGGCGC